CAACAAATGGTTCATATCTGAAACCAAAAGGAACTGGTAAGGAAGTGACCAAAAAGAGAAAGTACCTGTTGCTGTTGCTGTTGCTGTTGCTGTTGTTGCTGCTGCTGAAGTGCCAACAGATGATTCTCTTTGTATTGAGAACTAAGAACATCTTCATAACCAAGCGTTGTACCGGTAGGAGCAGACTGTTGGTTAAGAGGGAAGTTTCCGGTAGATCCAACATTGGTCGAGTTTCCAAATCCATAAGCAGAGGCAGGCGCTGTTGCAGACTGAGGCAAATTACCGGGAGAGACATTGGTTTTGTACTGCGGAAGCAATGCAGCTAGTTGCTGGTGGTATGCGTTGTTACCAGCAAATGTTTGCTGGAAAGCAGATGGCATGTATGGATAATTCTGAGGCATTAGAGGATAACCGATCATGTTTGCATAGTGTGTTAGAGGCAATGTGGGTTGAGAGTAATGCATTGGAAGCTGCTGAGGAAGGGCAGGTCCAGTAGCGATATTAGCACCAGGTAATGTTTGCTGGGTTGGCTGTGTTGCCGAAATTCCACTGCCTCGGAGCGCCTGCAATGTAAACGAATATAAATTCAAAATCACACACGTTTCTCTTGTAGTAATCACTAGTCCCTGGAAAAAAGTGATATATAAGAATAATTCCCTAGAGATCTAATTTTTTGCCAACAAGCAGGTCAAAGCCAAATCCAGAATACAGAAGATTCAGATTTCGAATCTGAAGAAACTACTGCCTTTGGCTAAGTAAACAAAACAGTACCCATGAGACAACTAACAAGTAACTACTACTTCTGAATACAAGCTAAGAGAAAGGGATTATTTACCTCTGGCATTGAAATGCTTTGGCCACCAAGTGATGAGGCATTGTTGCTAGTTCTTGATTGCATAGACTGTTGAGCTGAGAAAGGTAAAAACTGGAAGTCAAGTTCCCTCGCATTTTGTGCTGTTTGTGCCAATAAAGTGTTGGGAACTGAGAGTGAATACCCCTGCTGAGATAAAAACAAACAAGAACCAATGTTAACATTCAAGAATTTCATGGGCATCACTTCAGAGATTACTAAGCTACTCTTTCAGCAAAAATATGAAAATCCTGAATGCATTTTAAAACGAAAAACGAGTTTCTCTTAGAAGCTATCACAAACACCTAAGATTTTCAAAACCTTTCGAAACTTGGTTTTGCTATGAAAAGCAATAAACATGTAGCTTACCATCACATTTGATAATGAAGCAAGATTATGCATCTGATTCTGTGCATTTGTGTGTGAGGCATCATATGCAGTATTCATCTGCTGCTGCTTAGCATTTTCATACGCATAACCTTGCTCAGACTGGGCAAATGTGTACTGGTGCTCCTGAGCGCCCTCAGAGTTTTCTTGCTTCAACACCTCTCGCCTCGATTCTAAAGAATCATCATAATTTCCAGTAGCAGGTGTGTGGACCATATTTCCATTGGTTGTACTTCCAAGATGTTCATCTCCATAAAACTCAGTATTTCTGCAAACAAGCATGATCAGTTGGTAAGTAGGATATAAATGAAACCCATAAAAAGTTTGGAAAAAGAAATCAGTAGTAACGGAATACCTTGCATCTGAATGTTCGATCTGTGGAGCTACATCAGAAGTCTCTTCTACTTTGTTGCTCAAAGGCCTTGATCCAAAACCTCCAAAGCTTCCAAAACTTAATTGCGAGCATTCTTCTGTGTGAATTAGCAAATGGTTTGGAATTACAACAGCAGGTCTATCCTCTTCATGTGAGACTTCTTGATCATGACTATCTAGTTGTTGAAAACTGGCTGAACCAGATGAAACATCATCTTCATCTGAAAAGTAATAATGAGACAGTGAATAAAAAAAACCATCAGAAACACCATACAAAAGATCCTCATAAGGTATTGGTTTTCTAATACTATTTTTTTGTAGCAAGACTTCAAATACTGAGTATCACTCTACCACCAAAAGATAGCTGTGAAAAGAAAACAGCAAAGAAGCTTTCATCACCCCTAGCAGAACTATAATCCTATCTGTATTCACATGATTAATACACAAGCCCGCCCCAATATGAAACAGGAAAAGGAATTTGAACATAACGGCACACACTAGCAATCATTGTGATTTAATTGATGAAGAGAAATATTGTCATTCACAACATAAATCCAAAGAGTGCTCACAATCAATAGAAAAATCAGAAATACTTTTATATCCGAGATAAGCAATGGGAAACATTTATAAAGATTCAAAATATTACCTTTGTGGTGCTCTACTGGATGGCTCTGTGTCTGATATGGATTATCATCAATTTCAGACGAAACTCCAGATTCATCTTCTTGAACAGAGTCGGCTTGCAAATGATCGACTCCACGACTTTCAGACGGGCCATTTTCTGCTATATGTATATTTTCTAACCGGTCCTTCAGATATTGATCTCCTCTATCGGATTGGAAATCAGCTGGACCATTGCATACTTCTGATTCTGCTGGTGCTACTGATACAGAAGATGTACAAGGAGCCAGTGGCTTCTCAATCGACGGCCATTCATCTCTAACAGGGACCTGCTGATTTGCACTAACTTCGTGCTCATGACTTATCTCAGGACGCATATTGACATTTTGCTTCGTTGTCTGGTTCTGTGGTATACCCATCTTCACAATCTCAGCCATGGACCTTTGGCCTGGAGCTCCAAACCATGCAGTTTGATGTCCAGAAGCTGACTGTGATGATGATATTCCATCTCCCGAGGGAACAGAAGGCAATTTATTTTCCGTAGCAACGGGTTCACTGCAAAAGATACATAGCATATATGAGAAACCTGTGCAACCCAAATAGAAACATGTGCAAAAAAAAAAAAAAAATCCAAGGAAAAAGATGCCAAATTGAAAGAGCTATAAAAGCGAATGAGGAATGAAAAGGTTAAGGTCTATATGGAGCACAGATTCAACTGCAATGCATGATCTTGACAAAATGACCATACCTAACCTCATCATACAACCTCAACCCAGCATGTAAAAATTTTCATTGCTTCTAGTTAATGAAACAGAAACTGTACATGAAAGATTCTCTAGTTATCGGCTCAGATCTTTCAGAAACTAAAGACTTGCAATGAACCAGAAACTAATTGTGATATTCTACTATCTACCTAAGCTATAGGTCATATAATTACTTTAACCCCTTCGTCACATTTTTAACCAACTTAAGATTTGTTTTCTAATGTAGGAAAAGGCCTAAGATCAAACCAATAATCACAGAATTTTCCTATTTGATGATATCCCTTAAGCACATCATACTGGGAATTCAATTAATTAAGAGATTCAATATGAAGCACGCATTCCACTAAATTTTTCAACTGCATCCCAATTCCCAAGTCCCTACTCGAAAAATAAAGAGAATCACTCAAGGCGAAACCTGTGTGCTGTTTGATAGGTGTTCGCCACTCCAGAAGCAGAAGACCAAGAACCCAAATAACCCTGCGTTCCACTTTCTTTCTTGTTTGCAGATTTTCCTTGGAAGTTTCCAGAATCTGAACAACAGAAGCACATAAGCATGAATCCTACGGTTCAAACTAAATAAATTTCTGTATACAAGAGATCATGTTTATACCAGTAGAGCTGAAATGGGTAGATCCACTTCGTCCGGCATAACGATCAGAACCACCTCTAGCACCACGGTTGTACGTGTTATTAGCACCACGCGGCCGGGAATCCGATATATCCCTAGTCTGGGTAGAAAGAAAAAACTTTTCAAAATCACCAAAATCTAGTAAATCAAATGATAACTAGCTAAAACTACAATTCATTTGATTCCAGCAAAACATCTAGAGTCAGGTACTACATGAGGACAGCTAGTAATGAAACGTTTAAAGGCACACAGTAGTCCTTAGGTACAAATTATGTACTAAAAACAGAAGTTGCTTGTATCACACATGGTTGGCGCATGTGCTAATACACAGATTGTGCCATTAGTTAGCACTTAAAACGCTAACACTGGACACCAAAAGCACAAAAGCACAAAAGAACACCCCTTGTCTATTTTCCATAAGAATACGATTTATAACATCGACTCACCTCTTTCTTCTTTTCTTTCTTGCTCTTTACCTCATGAAACGGATCTGAATAGGAAAAAAAAAAAAAAAAAAAAGGTGTCAATATCATTAATAGACGCCGACTGCAAGAAAGACAAGCCTTGAACATGAAACTGAAGATCAGGAACTAAAGAGATTAAACCATTAGCAACATCTACGGAAAAAAACTCACAAGTTGATGATTTCAGAAATCAAACCAGCTAGAAAGTTTGACAATTCCAAGGGGAACACAAAACCCATTTAAAGGGGAAGCAACTTTAGAATTGGACAATGACCAATAGCACAAAAACAAAAAACTTGGTCCATTCAGAATTAAAACCCCAATCACAAACCCTAATAGAAACCCTCAAAGTAATCAGTCAATTTCGAGAAAAAAAAAAAGCCCTAGTTTTGTTCTCCACCCAAATAAACAACAGAAATTGAGAGGAGGAAAAAGGAGGAACCTTGAGAGAGGAGGCGATTAACGGTTTCGTTAGGATCCATATTGCACTCTTTAAGCATAGCATAGATCTCAGCCTCGGGAGAGTTTACAATTTCCTTCAAGCTTTGTACTATTATTCTAGACCCTGACGGAATATCCTGAATTCCATTATTGGCCTTCCTTGCTCCGGCACTTCCGCCGCCGACAACGCCGACCTTGCTGCTCATATTAATCTGCCGTAAGCTGCCTCTCTCTCTCAATCTCTTGGATCTGAAGGAAATAAACGAAGCTTTTGTGGCTTCTCTCAGTCGCGACAATACGAAGAAGACGAAGAAGAAGGAAGCACAAGGGAAGATATATCTCTAGAAGAAAACCCTCTCCCTCGATTTTTCACCTTATTGCAAAAAAAAATTCTTTTCCTTTTTTTCTTTTGCCTTTTAAAATTACTGGACCGGTTCTCTCGTTTAAACCAGCCGCGTCTAAATCAAACCGAACCAAAACCACATCTCTTAAATCTCCACACCAAGGACCAAGGTGGTCTAAAGTCTAAACTCATTTTCTCATTTGCTAATTGAGAGAGAGTGTATAACTGAACGATGTTCTTTGCTAAAGTCGAAAGGACTGATCTTTATATTTGGGTTGTAATAACATTTTTAGTCTCGACTCAACGCTGAGCATGTCGTAAAAACCAAAGTGGATTCACTTTTAGAGATCGAATCAATTACATGGTACTTTTTTCTAATTTTGAATTGATATAAGGGGATATATAACTCGCAATCAATCTTTTGAAACTTATTCTGTGTGACATCAACCTTATTTCTATGTCAATATTTTCGTTGTATATTATTTTGTAATTATTTCTACATGCTAAAACCTAGCTAGGTGGACGCATATATCGCCAAGAAGCAAGTCCTCTTGAGATGAGAAGTTTTATGTTCACACGAAAAAAGTAATCGGACACCACAACATATGTTTTATCATGTTTGAACTAATTAGTAATCAGAAACCACAACATCCGGAAAGCTAAACTGATATTTTGTTTTTCATTCTGTCGTGGTAATCATATAAGACATACCAGCTCTCAGATATCTACGTACTACAGGATAATAAAGGAATTAATATGCCAACTGATTTGGGTTTACATCGCTTCCTATGAAAGATTACTAGTTTGGATTTCACATTTGGACAAAGTTAAGCACATGAACTTTCTAAATAATAGCAAAAAAGAAAACTGAAAGAATGTATTACAGAAAAGGTTAGAAGCAAATGAACCAAAAGGAAACACTTATTTACGAAAGAAGAAACAAATGAAGAGAGCGAGAATCGCAACTGTGCTTAATAAGCCAGATTCCTTATGTTTCATAGGAACCACTTTAGCTTTTCGTTGTTTTCAGTTACCTACAAGTCTTTGGACTTTGTCTTGTTCGATTTAGTACGACAACAGTTAAAAAGTACATCTCCTATCTTTTTTTTTTTTTTTTAAACAAAACAATCTTCAAATGCTTCATATATTTGCGTTGATTTAAAAAGTATTGCTGGTGAGAGAACTATGATATAATATAATCTCCATAAGTCATTATAATCTTGCCACTGATATAGGACACAAATAAAGTAAAAACGTAACTAGTTCCAATTTTTTTTTTTTTTGTAAAATCTCTAGGTGTTACTAATAGGTGATGAGATTTGAAGCTTCTCACCAAGAAAGAAGAAGGAGCTTCTTATATATTTTTTCATGTACTATAAGTTTATCTGTAAATACCTTTTCCTCTTTATGGCGTTTTCTCTTGCTTGCCGATTCTTCTAGCTTCCTAGCTAGTTTCCCCTTTCTCAAGTTTTCTTATATTCTCTCCTACATGTCTTCGCATCCCTTCTCTCTCCCATCCCAAGAAATCTTTGATTCTATGATTCTTCTCTTTTCTCTTCATCTTTATAATAACATATATCTCTACCTGAGAGGGAACTTCTTCGCAACCATTCTTTCTTTCTTCTACCAAATCCCAACAACTACCTGAAGACTATTATTCTCTCTCTCTCTCTCTCTCTTTCTCACAAAATCTTAATTACACGAGAAACGGAAAGAAAATGACTCCCCACATAGCTCCTCGATGTTTCTCCACCATCATACTTCTATGGCTTCTATATACTTCACGTAATCTCTCTGCGTCTGATACATGCAATCGTGAATAAGCTTTCTTTTTTTTCTTCGCATTCTGAAAGGTTAAGGATGCAACAAACTGATCTGATTTTTGTGATGATTGATTTCAGCTCTAGATGTTATAGCTCAAGGTCAGGGAGGACAAGGTGATATACCAGTTGTTAATCCTACAGCTCCCGGTGGTAGTACCACCACACCAACCATAACACAACCATCACCGCCTTCCTTGACATTCCCAGGTCCAACTACACCAACAACTACACCAACTGGTGGTTATCCACCACTTGACAGTACCACACCAACTGGTGGTTACCCACCCCTTTATGGTACCACACCACCAGGTGGTGGTGATGTAGGTGGTGGAGGAGGCGGTTATGGTGGTGGTGCACCTGGTGGAGGTGGAGGTGGTGACACTGGTGCAGGTGGTGGAGGTGGCGGTTATGGTGGCGGTGGGGGTGACACTGGTGCAGGTGGAGGTGGTAGTGGTCAGTGGTGTATAGCGAAAGCAAATGCTTCGCCAACATCATTACAGGTGGCTTTGGATTATGCTTGTGGGTATGGAGGAGCTGATTGTGGCCAGATACAACAAGGTGCAGCCTGTTACGAGCCTAATACTATTCGTGATCATGCTTCCTTTGCTTTCAATAGTTATTACCAGAAGCATCCTGGCTCAGACAGCTGCAATTTTGGAGGAGCAGCACAACTCACCAGCACAGATCCAAGTAAGACATTCTAACATTTTCGGTAAAAGTCCACAAAGATTTGATCATAAGAACCGGGAAAGTAGAATTAAGTTGCCCGCATACTAGCTCCCATATTTCTTGCTTTTGTCTTTGCTACTTCCATGAGCGGTTTAGGCTACTTGAGACCTCCACAACTGATCGATGTTCGAGTTTCTAGAAATAGTTCATGAACCTAGTAATACTATCCCACCATATGATTCCAATGTGTCAAAAAACCTAAAAATGACTAGAGTTTTTACCTTTTAACGCTAAAGATAAATCTGAGACTGGTATTCAAATCTGCTCTTATACTGCTCCAGGTAAAGGAAGCTGTCACTTCTCATCATCATCAGGAACAGTCAGGTATGTGTTTCTCTTTCCACTAAATCAACGTCTTAACCTTGCAAAAAAAGAGAGAAAAATAATAGTGATTAATTTTTGCCAAGTGCAGTACAAGCCCGCCAAGTCAAATGAGTCCACCAGATTTTAATTCCCCACCATCTACATACCCACCCCCAATAACAACTCCAACTACAGGCATAACTGGTTCTGGACCACCCTTTGGCGTAGCAGAGCCAACCGGGCTTCCGAGTTCAGCAACCTCTGTATCACATAGCCTTCTCTCAATATTTACAGCAGTTGGGATACTAATGCCACTGCTCAGGGAAAATTATCTTTAAACGGAAAACAGTTTCAGGGTTCCAATCATTCTCTGCAAATTATGAAGTGCGTTTCCGATATCCACGATTACGATCTATGGAGTTCAAGAAAGCCGCCGTGATCTGCAAGAAGATTTTAATCCATGACCTAACTCTCACCATCTGTTCTATTGCTATAGTTTATCACTGAAAGTATATTTATTTAGTAGGAGATATTACAAATTCAAAGGGCTTAGGATATATACATTCTTGTAGACACATTAAGCATAATGTATCTCTCCACAGTTTTAGAATATAAAATACTTAGGGAACGGTTAAAAAATACAAAACCAATGTCAGAAATGATTAATTATGGAAAGATATAACACAAATAAAACGAAAGCCACTTAAGTAGCTACATACCTGCAGCACTCCAAACCAGGTAGGCACCCGACAGTGACACCCAAAACAAGCTCCATGATACCTGCAGGCTGCAGCATTTCCAAACTACAAGGATGACAATATCCTTAACATGCTCTTTCTGACTCATAATCTTATAAGTAGAAGTTTTTGATCTAGTTCCTTGTGGAATCATACGCGACTAAAAGATCAATCTGTTAGCAGCGAATAGTGCCAAATACAAGCATCTCATAAAAAGCGGATAAATGCAAGCACGTTGAATTGAGTATTGCAATCGAGTAAATAATACAGTACATTATTTCGTCTCTTCATACACATTGTTACAGTGATTTACAGATGAGTCCTTTTATCAGGAGCATATTTATATCAAGAAAAGGAACGATACAACTGTGACACCAACTATGGCTACAGTGGCAAGAACTGAACTCTGATCAAATGCTTTCTGCAAGCTGCCTGCTCGTGAGAAATGCTGGAAAGCCAGAAAACAAGAGATTGCTAAAGAAAGAATAGCCCCTTCTTGTTTCCCTCTGCAAGCGTATGAATTCAATGAGTCTCGACTGAAGAAAAGAAAACCTAGAACTCAAACATTACATTCTCTAATACTCTAACCTTATGCTCATAACTTGATATGGGGCCACAATCACCAAAAGTAAAGCAATGAAGGGCAGCTCAAGTTCACCTATAAACAAGGCATTGTATAAGAATTACAGACAGACAAAAGCAGGCATACTCTTCTGCAAATTGAAGATCGGATAAGTCATGCGTGAATCCTGTCAGCATGACTTAGTAACGAAAATTTTAGGCCCGCCGGAAATTAGCCTGAATTTCATTCCAACAGCCTATAACCCAACCTACTTGAAGATGAATACGAACCTGGAAAAGCGAAGAATAGTCGAGTAAGAAGCGCCAAGAATGCTGCCCAGATGCCATATTCACCCCTGAAAATTAAATGGAGAAGTTAAATGACCTCAAATACCTATAGGAGCATGCAAAGTTCTCTGATCCACAATAACCAAAAAAAGGAATAACTCCACAATCACTGGTAATGAAAAGGTATCATATAGAAGGCCATTAAAAAGCTTACTTCATCCAGGAGATAATGCCCAATGGTGCTTGCAGTGCGAATAGTGGAACAACAAAGGACTTATGTATACCAGTACCCCTTGCAAACATCAATGCACTAGAAAGAAAAACAAAATTCAGTATAGAATTGGAACTTATATGCTGCTGACAATATGACTCAGCGGAAATTACACAAATTATAATTCTCTTTCACACATGATTCCGACGCATTCAAATTCGAATTTCTGAATCTGGTGGCAAAATTTTGAATAAAAGACCTAGATTCATACTATTTCCTTGTACAGTCATTTGCTATTTCTAGCAGAATTCTGAATTAAAATTCACAGCTAATGAGATTGAGAGATCATACACGCAAGAAATTGTCGAGATCCATTGTAGATTTTGAACAGACAACATTGGAGTAGCATAACAGACCACACTCGATCCTCTCTTTCGCCGCTTCTCGACCCTCGTAGACACCGTAGCGGTTGGTTGACGATCAGCCGATAACCTAGCAACTAACATTAAATTACACGAAACGAATCGGAAGAATCCAAATGCACTGACTGAGAATTTGAAATCGCGTGTTTCTGTGTCACTATACCTTAGAGGATTGAAGCAAACAGCACTAGTACTGTGACCTAGACCGGAGAGATCGGACGAACGAGGCCGGAGTTTAAGAGAGAGAAAGGGTTTCTGGTGGTGAAGAGAGATGATCCGGGACGATGAGATACAGAGACTCGCCATGAATCGTTACGGTGGTGGAAAGATTGACGGAGTGATCATCTTTCTTTCCGTTAAAATTGGGTCATTTGCATCAATTACATGATGGTTACGTGGACGGTGTAGATTTCGCGGGAATGCTTTAAAAGAGGGACCCACAAAACACGTGTTTGGACAACGACAGTCGTTTAGTTCACAATCAATCAAAGAATCTTTGAATCTCCACCGTTAGCACAAACTCGAATGCAAATCTAACCACGTATTTTGGGATCGTGACAAAAATCCCAATGTCGACCAAGAATTTTGATGTGTATTGTTTTCACGTTTACATGAAAGATCATTTTTATTGGCATCGAGCAAATAAATACATCACACTCTGATTTTTACATATATATGAGAGTAGTAGTTTCCTTTTGTCAGGAGGAACATAGTTATAACAACAAAAGGAGCGATACAACTGTGACACCAATTATGGCTACAGTGGCAAGAACTGAACCCTTCTCATATGCTTTCTCCAAGCTCCCTGCTCGTGAGAAATGTTGGAAAGCCAGAAAACAAGATATTGCTATTGATATGATTGCCCCTTCTTGCTTCCCTCTGCAAGTGTATAATGAATTCCATGAGTCTCGACGACTAAAGAAAACAAAACCTTGGTATTAAAACATTCTTTAAGATTCTAACCTTATGTTCATAACTTGATATGGCGCCACAATCACCAAGAGTAATGCAATGAAGGGCAGCTCAAGTTCACCTATATAAAAATGGCATTGTAATATTGTATAACAATTACAACACACTAGAATATAATAGCCTGTACGCAACCGAATCTACATGAAGATGAATAGGAACCTGGAAAAGTGAAGAACAGTCGAGCAATAAGCGCCAAGAATGCTGCCCAAACGCCATACTCTCCCCTACAAATTAGATACAGAAATTTAAGTTTAATGACTTCAATATGGCTGCTTAATTAAGCAATATGCAAAGCTTTCTCATCCAGAATAACCAAGGAAAACAAAAAACAAAAGCAACAAGCATTGGTAATGAAGACAGTGTATCATCATATCACCATTTGAAATGCTTACTTTATCCAAGTGATGATGCTGGATGGTGCGTGTAGAGCGAATAGTGGAACAACAACGGACTTATGGATAGCAGTACCCCTTGCAAGCATCAATGCACTAGAAAACAAACGTACCATTCAGTAGAATGTTGTTAACATTATGAAACAGAGGACACTACAAAATCATCTATAGCAATTCACACATCAAATATTTTCACCAGCATTAATGGGATATAGATTCATACAGGCAAGAAATGGTCGAGATCCATTGTAGACTATCGACAGAAATCGGAGCAGCATAACAAACCACACTCTTTCGCCGCTTCTCAACCCTCGCCGACACCGTAGAGGTTCGCTGACGATCTCCTGATAATCTAGATTTACATTCAAAACAAAAGAGTTACGCAAAATGACTCAAAAGAATCTCAATTAAATCCAATGTTTCCACTATACCTAAGAGGATTGAAGCAAACAGCACTCGTGCAGCGATCTAGACCGGAGATATCTGTAGGACGAGGCCGGAGTTTTAGAGAGACAAAGGGTTTCTGGTGGTGAAGAGAAACGATCCGGGACGATGAAAGACAGAGACTCGCCATGAAATTGTAAGATAGTTACGGTGGTGGAAAGATTGACGGAGTGATATTTCTGTTAAATGACTCTATCATTTGCATGAATATATTGATCGTTGTGGATTTCGTGGGCAAATGATTTAAAGTGGAGCCTAGTTACACGTGATTGGAAAACGAGAGTCGGTCACAATCAAAAAGAATCTTTGAATCTCCACCGTTGGAATCAACTCCAATGCAAATCCACCCCATGTAGGATTCAATGTCGGCTTTAACATATCCAACTTATGGGAACGAGACAAAAATTCATGTCGACGCAAAGATAATTATTTTTCTTTTGTAAAGCTTTAACCCAAAATTTCTTATTTCTCGTTTGCGTTTAACGTTACAATTAACAAACAATAATATATCTTTAAGTAGTTCAAATAGTATGTTCATTTGGAAAAACTAACACAACTCCAATTTCAAAACAATAGTAAACAGTTATACAAATATATCAAATTGTTATCGGTAATCGGCATTGAAACTTTTTCTAGCAAATATTCGAGTACAAAACATTAGTGCCGACATAACTCCTTCCAGTTTCAGATATGTTCTTTTATCTTCTCTATGTTGTGTTTTTTTTTTATAAGACTTGACTCTATCCAAAAAAAAAGAAAGACACTTAAAAAGAGTACTCTTTGTGAGTTTTTTTGTTACTGTACAAATTGCCAAAAGCTTATAATAGAAGTAACAAGAGTCATGAGAGTTACAACATAATACCCAACCGAGTATTCATGGTTTTTTTTTTTACATATACTCCATGGAACCAAAAAACATGAAGAACGGAAAAAAAAAAGAAAACAGAGTAAATACTTTCACAGCTGCAGGCAGCATTTAAAACCTGCAATTCGAAAACACACTTCCGCAGGGTCCCGCATGCATCAGTTAACTCTGCCTTTCACCAATATGTACGGTTAAAAATTAGTACTTAGAAAGAAAAAAACAGCATTATCACAACACTGGGTCTTCTCAACTCTTGTGTCAGCTTTTCTCTCTGCCATCATCACTGAGCTCAGAGTCAAGAAGATCCACATTCTTAGTTTCCTCAACGACAACCTATAAAGAACAAGATATAAGTCTAAAGATCATCGCTAGCTATATTATGCAGCATTGACTAGAATCATCTAAACTGTAGTTGTTTCAGACCAAAGAGTAGCTTTACCTGTTCAACAGAGTCTGGATTGTTAGGAGCATCGAAGATAATTGGACGGCAGCGCATATCTTCATTCATCAAGCTTGAGTTCTGAAAATGAGCTATAAGGGCAGATTTTCCTTGTATCCGGGCATATGCCAATGAAGCTACTTTCTCACTGTTGAATTTCTCCCACTTCTTCCCATTAAAAGCCTGCAAAACATGGATGTTTGTTAGTTTATCCTTTGAGTGAACTTAACTAAAAGTATAAGAAAGAAAGCGGAGAGAGAAGGAAACCTCGTAAAATGGAATGATGAGTTCTGGAGTGAGCATGTTGATGAATGCATAGCCAACATTGCATTTGTTCTGCAAAACCGAACATTGTTAACCAATCGTAGTATCAGTTAGTGAATTTGTAACTTTTGAATCTCTAACAATCTTTACCTTGAAATCAATAGGCAAATAGAGAAAGTTGTAAGTTCCTTGGTTCTTTTCATCAATTGCAGCTAACAACATCTTTGAGGTGTATCTGTTGATAACAGTATAAAAGAAACTCATTCAGTAATCTGGTTATATCATATTACAAGTATTTCAAGAGAAGTAACGATAAAGAAAAGAAAAGCTTACTTGTTTGGTATGTTTTTAATCATCAAGGTAGTCCGAGAATCCTCTCCATTAAGAATTTTGTCCAAATCAAGTTGAAACTGTTTCCTGCTCTCAACCTGGTTCGAATTGTTCTCGACTCTACGAGGCCTTCCATTTTCATACAAACCGTCAAAGCCAGAGGCGAACCTTCCTGGGTTTAGACCGCTGCTTAAGAACATGGGGCTGAATCTTGGTGAAGACATCATTCTGTAACTTGAAAAACCGTTTTCGGCCATGCTTCCAGGGTTAATGATCCCATTATTTGCCATTTTTGACGAGAAACTTCCACCGTTGAGACCCATTCCACTCATTCCTTGAAGACCAACAGTGTTCATGAACAAAGTGTCCTTTGAAGACTCTGGGACGAATCCAAAATGCTTTTCTAGAGGAACACCAGATGGTGCAGACCCAACATGGAAGTGATGATGGCTACGACTTTGATTTTGATGCTGATGGGGAAATGGAACAGATCGGTCTACCCGAGCTGAGAAGAGTGGATTCCCAGTCGATGATGTTGACCAAACCGAGGAACTGGAAGGTTCAGAGCGTGAGTTAGGACTTCCCCAGAGAAACTCTGAACCCGACAACGTCTCAATTCCACCTCCATTTGAGATCAAAGGACCAGAAGGAGAGATATTTCCTGTGTACTTCTTATCCAGCTTAGGCTCTTGGAATAAATGTGATGACTGCTGGAAGCCATTGCTACCACTTTGACCCCTGCCAATGGGTGCAAGCTTCGAGCTTGGTCCTTGTGAATTTAGAGCAGAAGCCAAACCAGACAAGTGGCCGTTCCTTGTAGGACTTAACCCATAAACAGGTGACCTACTAAGTACACTTTGAAGCGGACTACCTTCCACGGGACTGTTCAGCATCCAGTTACCTTGCACCAAATCAAACAATTTCAGTCTTTGAGGATATCAAAATCACAAATTTGTTGGAAGAAAAGCATATAGAAATAAACTCACTTGGGGGAGAGTTTGCCATGGGTGAACCAATCATAGGTAGGTAATGCAAATCATCGTTCTCAAGTTCTTGGTTAAGTTGCAACATCAGGCTAGTAGATCAAATAAATGGTCAGATGTAAGAAACGTAATGGTATTCATTATTCATGTGGCAGATCTAAGAAAGAAACAAACCTGCGACGAGCTCCTCCAGGGCGACTAGGTTCAACCTTTATACGTTTTCCTGCAATCTCACACCTGTTTAATGCCTTCAATGCTGCCTCAGCACCTCGGACATCATAAAACTCGACGAATTTGTGATGCCTCTTATGTGGTGTTTCCCTTATCTGCTTTTCACGAGGAAAGCAGAACTTAAAATGGATGTTTTTTCTTCCAAACCAGCTCAACGCTATCAAATACACTATGTTTGCTATGGGGAAAAATAAAAAGAATGATATCTATCACCTCTTTGATCTCGCCATGAACACCAAAAATTCCATGTAAGTCATCATTAGAAATTGAAGGATCCAGGTTAAAAACCACTAATGTCCCCTGATTCATATCTTTCTCAGATGGATTATCCTACAAATTACACAGGAAACAGGCACAATATAAACAAATTAGAGCTGCAACAAGAATCATTGACAGTGTTAACAAAGAAGAGCCATCAGCAAACCTTAGGAATTGAGAAGTGAATGTCCAATTTTCTCCGTCTTAATGGCTTATTCTGTAAAGACCGCATAGCCATTCGAGCAGAACGAATGTCATAATAAGATATCATGACAAATCCCCTATGCTTACAAGTAGTATAGAGCGTTCTAATGTCACCGTATTGCTGCCACATATCACAAAAAAAAATAATCCATCAGTGTCTGTACAGTAAGTTTGTTATAAGAAATCCAACAGTGTCAGGTCAATTTTTGTTGAAGTTACCTCAAAGAGAGCCGTGAGTTCAGAGTCCTCTACATTGCTGTTAATATTCCGGACAAACAAAGTTCTCGAGGGATGTTCTCCATAAGGATGCTCACCAGCAACTGTTCCCGCACCATTTGGAATATTGAATTGCGGAATTGCATTTCCACCAAGACTTGAAAGGGATAGCCTTGGAGGACCACTCATGCTCAAGTTGTCTCGAAAATCAGTGTCAAGTTCCATTCCTCCTCCACTACCAAAAAGATCATAATCATCAGTATCTGGTAACTCGCCCAGGTCAAGATCATCCATCATCCCAGTCAAAAGATCCTCTTCATCAGGGAGCAGGTTTCCAATGGAATGAGATTCAAAGTCATCAGCACTTTCGTTAAACTTGTTTGGGCGAGAAACAGCCATATCATCTATCATTGAGAAACCATCTCTGTTATCACTCAATTGCACTGCAAAAAAAGTAAAACTTGTCGGCAAAAGAGAGAAGAAAGTCATATATAACGATTAAGGGATTTGGTTTATACGTTTTCCACGGGGAAAAACAGGTAAAGAACTGGAGAACAAAGTAGCATCACTGGAGGGATGATGGTGACGACCAAATCCAGGGAGAATCCCCCAAGCTCCAGCTTCTGCTTCATGTGGAATATCCATTCGAACAACTTCTTTCTTTGATCTGCTTTGCAAATTTAAAAGAGAACAAACGCATTAGCTCACATTTACAATATTCAAGCTGGACACAGCAGATACATTAAAAACACATTTGAAATCTCAAAGTCATGTGATGAAAAATTAACATGCAAGCAAGAAACCATAACCTAAAACCAACAAAAAAAGCTTGATCAATACAAGCCAAACTCAAAAGTTCTGATCAAACTAAAAACGTGAAGAAAATAATCAACTTTACACACAAAAGTCGTGAAAGTAATCATTTTTTTTTTTGTTTTTTTGCTGCTGAAGAAAGTCTAAAAAATGAGTAATTGACTAACAAAACAGTCAAATGATGAAGCTTTAACTCAATCAAAATCAAAATTAAGAAGATCGTTGAACAAATAACATGATGAGACAAAGAGAAAGAACCACTCAGAAGATCAATCACAGAAACTAGGTGAACTAACCCAATATGCTTGTCTAAATCCCCGATCATCAAAAAGCTAAAACCTTTCAGATACACTATTAATTGATCGAAATCGCCGACGTAAACAAAAGAGAAGAAACCCGTTAAGAAGAAGGGTTTAGAGTTTAGACAAAACCCAGAAAAAAAGTGAGGAAATTTCCGTAGAGAGAAAACGAATCAATTGACGAAGAAAAACATGAAAACCCCAGAAATCAAAATTTGTTGCGAAAAAAAAGGAGAAAAATTTGGAAAGTGAGGAGGTAAGAGTTAATACCTGAAATGTGCAGTTACCAACACCGACGAT